CAAGCCCCCACCGCCAGGGGGACTTGCAAGTTGCGTTGAGTGAGAGCAAGCAAGGTCTGTATATGATCAAGGCTGTTGATATAAAATAAGTGGACAGCTCGGTTCAACCACTTCGGTTGTGTCCAGCCGGTTCCGCAGTTCTTTCCTAGCGGCGAGCGCAGTTCGGCTGTATACAGCATTAAGGATTTATAAGAATCTGGGGGACTTCCCGTCCGTTCAGAAAGGGGTCAAAAAGCTATGTTATTTCAATCTTCTAGGTATTTGGTGACAAACCCCGGATTGACATTGAAAGGAGCTTCTGCTGCAGCAAAAGGGCTGGGACTGGTGTCCCGTCCGCATATGAATGCCACAGGAAATTCAAGAACTTTCTACATGCCTTCTGTACAAACGGGCTATTTTCAGACCCTTCCTCACCCTTCCTCTGGAACTGTTGAGTCCAGACCAATCTACCCACCAGGTGGAGATATAGCGAACTCTGTGTGCAGCTCGATTTCTCTCTCTCCCCCAGCGTGTTCATCAGCCATCCCCATGGCTTGATGAAGGCCTGGACACTTGATGTCTCTAAGTCCGCGAGTGACTTGTCACATTGAACTCCTTTTCGTCGCCTTCGCCAATGTGGCGAGCCTCAGAAACAGATCAGGGGTGAGCTGGCCAGGCTAGTCATGCCAACCCTCACTGACTCTGGCTTTACTCCCTCAAGCGCGTGTCTCGAACTTATCGCAAGTCTCCCGCTGCGGCGGGCGCATCTGGCAGCGTAGCGCTGGCCAGGCGGTTCCCGAAGGGAACTCCCCGCAGGGGAGACTTGGGCCAGAGGTCGACAAACTCAGGTGCTGAGTTTGAGTTGTTTTGGTGGGAGCGTCACAAGATTTGAAATCCTGACGCTCCCTCAAAACTTTCTTGATGTTTGGTCTGGAATTTTTCAAGACCTGCCTGATCTTATTGATCAGGCCAAAACTTAGAAGTTGCTCCTCGCAACTGTAATTAATAATAATTTTCTAAAATATCAGTCTGCAAATCCTCTTGGGGGTAGACTAACTCATCCGACAAACTTTTGTATGTCAAAAACCTTAAGAATATAATCTACATAATTGACAAACAAAAAAAAGAAGCCATATCACCTGACATAACCTCAGAAATACAGTCCCTGGTCGAAATTCGACAAGTCATCCTTTCATCAAAAACATCAATCTTCTCGACACCAAACGTCCGGTCAATACAAAACAGAGGAAACCGATCGGATCGTGTCATTTTTCTTAAGGAACTGAGTATCACTCTTCTCTTCCATGGCTAAGAACCATACTGATAACTAAATTCCTTGTCGCTCTTCAGCTGCCTTCGCTTCCACCCAACCTGACCACCGTCACGCTCAAGTTCGATAAAAGTCAGCACACGAACTTTTTTTTTTCAATTTTTATTCTTCGTTTAACCCTCCTCTTCAACATGATGATTTATTATGAAAACCAGAAGGAGAAAAAACACATGCTGAAACTGTAAATGATTAATATGAAAACGATAGCCACGGTCCTCCTACCAGCGACAAAGAAGACGAGGGTCTTGGAGCTCAAGACGGGATCTCTAGATGCCTTGAAGGGGACCAAGACGAGTCCCTCAAATGGGACCCTGGAGGACTTGACCTGCTTCCAGATCTTTTGGGCGTCGAGAACGGAGGGGGTCGGCTGGGGCCGCCGGAGGTGGTGCGGTTGATTCGTGGGATGCTCTTGCAGACGACCATGCAACGATGTCCGATCTCATCGTCAAAGAGGCCGAGAATCTGGGGATCGGCTTCAAAAATTCAAAAGGTCCCTCTCTCATTCCCCTCTTCCCATCTCTTCTCTTGATCATCCATCCTAGTACTTCTTTTGTCAGTTACATACAATTGGCTTTTCATTTCTCAAGAAATGAAAAACATTCTTTAAAATGCTCTCCAGGAAGAGAGAAACACCAAAGTTGAATCCCATCAAGATTTCTTATTCTATTTATTTTTTTAAAGAACAAAGATTCTTTTTCTTATTCAATATTTCTAACAACAATATCTATGGACGGATATACAAGTGTGTATGAATGATTTCTTTCGAGAAAAATTACCATCGGGATGATGAATCCCATGCTGAAGTGTGGTTGATGTTCGATTTGGATGGTGTTGGTTGGTTGAAGGAGTAGCCAGCCATTGTCCTTTGAGCTGACTAACAATCGAACTTGACAACGTCTCAGGGCCGTTGATTCCTCGGGTTCCGGGTCCATTTTTCTGTTTTTTATCAATGTTGAATCAGATCGCGGATGGTCAAGTGTTGCTTTCTCTAGTATCCGACTGACCAACGATCTCATTCATCTTTTCAACGGTTGAGGCGTCATGTTATATGCTGTTATGCCAGGTATGATTTCACTTGGCTTACTAATTAAAATCAAGTTGTTGAAAAAAAATACAAACATCGGGGCAATCTAACTTAGCATCGGTAACTGGAGTCAAAAAGTGATCGTTTTCAATGACGATCAAAAGGATGGCGACACAACATAAGAAAAGACTGAAGACACAAAAAGAAGAGCAAGAAGCAGGCCTTCATGGCCTGGGAAGGAAATCCTGTACATGTCGATGAAAGGACGGCTACTAAAGGATAAAGAGGAAAATCGAGGTTTTCAACCCAAATCCTCGAACTCAGCACGCGGGCATTGTCGCCTTATGCATAGGCCTCCACTGGCGTGGACAGCTCCGCTGCTCGCTCCCGCTCCCGCCGTGGAGGCCTAGTTAGGCTCGCGCGTGTCTGCTGTTTTTGACATCTTCACAGTACATCGAGTTAAACTGCAATAGCATCGAGTCACAACGCTGTAAGATTGTTTCAGAATGTAGGAACTGAAAATGGTCAAAACTAAAAAACAGACAGCTCGCCAACAGTTCGGACACATTGGTCGTATGATTTTTTTTTTGCAAAGGGGCTTGCTTTGTTCTGTCATCTGGCCAGTGAACCGAAATCCGGGATCATGAAATAATCTGGCCTATCGCAAGATGGGTGATGATCGCGTACACGTATTGAAGGGCCTTTCGTCTTTTAGGAGGTAACTTGTTGGAGCACCTTTGAGATCGGAACGTACTCTCCGTCGAGCTTGACGAGCCACTCGTCGTGGAGCCAGTCGATGGGGTAGTTCAAGAGACTATTGTCGCGCTGTCTGATAACGTAGCAGGTCTCTCCGCTGAAATCGCTCTCCTCGTCGATCTCCTCTGCGACGCCGACGATTCGACCATCCAGCGGCTGCGGTGGCTTCCTCCCGGACTCGTCACGCATACGCACTTCGGTCCCCACACGGAGATTCCCGGGTCCGAGCGAGTCGCCGTCCTTGTGCTTCTTGGCGGCGTTCGACATACACCATGGGGCGGGTTTTTAGAAAAACCCCCCAGCAAACGGATGGATTCCGTCCCGAGCGCCCGCAACTTGGTTGCGAAGCATCCAACGGACGCTCGGGCGGGCCTGGCATCATTTGGACGCTTCAGAAAGCGTCCAAGGGATGCTTGGCAGGCGAGACCATCCAGAGGATGGTGTACAGCCCGGTGTCCATCGGACACTTGATTGGGAGTGTCCGATGGACAACAAGAAAACCATCAATCGGACACTTCTCAGAGTGTCCGATTGATGGTTTTCACCCGGGTCCGGCAGTGGAAAAAAAAGGGTCGATTGTTGAAAAATTATTCAAAAGGTGGTCGATGGTCGAAAAACAATCCAAAAATGCAGCGCGGGGTATGTAGTTGACTCTTTGACCAGTGGAATATCAAGAATCTAGTATAGTCGACACCACGGTCATTTGGGTGTCGCCCCGGATGTAACCGTCACCTTGACGAATCCGCGTGCGTGACTGCGGCAGTAGGCGCAGTCACTGCGCACGAAACCCCCAATGAAACCCCCAGATGTCGCTCCGCGCGGGAGCGACATGCAATTGTCCGTGGTGCGAGTGGCAAAGTACTGCCTCTGTCACTACAGGCAAACAGGTGTCGCTGCGGCCCGCAGCGTCACCTAACCCAAAGGGGCCCCCCTTGGGTTAGGTGACGTTCCGCGCGGGAGCGTCACCTAATTGCCCGTACACCACCGGAGCACCTCGACGCCAAACCGTCGAGGGTTCTGACGGGCAAACCGACCTCCCCCGACCCGGCCAAACCTTCCTGTCTGCCGACGTCAGTTAGGCAGCTTTGCGGCCAGGGAGTCGGGGTGGTCAGGGAACCGACCCATGTCTGCCGGGCGGGCAGTGCGTCGGGATCGGTCAACCCGCCTGCATATTTACAAGTGTCTCAGGGGTCTGAGACGCCCTGAGATTATGGATTCAGGGTCCTGCGGGCGGTCCGACCAGTGAGGACCAGTGTTTGCGGTCACGCCGCCTGCTGGGCTGTCATCGGTCTTGACCTTCTATGCAGATTATGTAGCTGCACCAAGGTTGACATATGCCGTGAGAGCTCAGCCAAAAAAAAATTGAGTCCGGACTGAACTGGAAGTCCTGACTAAAATTCATCCATCAAAAAGAATGTTTCTCAAGGAGACTCGAACCGAAGACCTCGGCCACAGTTGGGAACAACTACAGGGTCTTCTCACCACTCGGCTTCAACAGATTGTATGTTTGCATTGATCTTCAAGTGATAATACCCCGTCACCGCTTTTTGGCAATTTTTTTTTCTCTAAGTCTTTTTATTTTTTTTAATTTTATTTTTTTTTCCAGAGCAACTTTTCTCGAGGTTTTGCTTGAAAAGATTAACCCTGATAGAGATGAAAATTAACTTGCAAATGGTCGCGCTGACGTCAGCGCGGCGATGGCACACCGGTCATCCTGACCAACCACATCCTGAAAGGAACTGATGGCCTCAGCTGGACAGCTGTCAGGTTTGTCTACCCGGGCCGTCAAACCAGGTCTCCAGCGGCTGACTGGAGCTGCAGGTGCTCCGGTTGTGCAGCCCACTGGTCAGCTCTTGAGCGGTTGGGCCTCCGTCGACTGACGGTCGGCTGACTGTCAAAGAGTGGGTGGAGCAACCCTTGAGTCGGGATGTCAGTAGTGTCAACCCCGACAGCATCAATGGCAGCGGCCTGACTGTTGGGTCAGTACCGACTGAGTGCGTTCAGTCGGCATGACTGTCCGGTCGGCCTCGGCTGCATGGTCTACAGCGGTCTGACCGCTGGGTCAACCCCGCCTGCATTATTACTGGCAGACTGACCATTGGGTCATCTCCGACGGCAGAATCTCCGGCGGGCTGGCCGTGGGGTCATACTGACGATGTTACCTACGACGGTCAGACGGGGTGGTCAACCCAACTGTGGGTCGACTGACAAATACACGGCAGCCCGCGGGTAAACATCCGACGTTGGGGTGCTAACCCGGAGGAGCTTAAAGTGCTCTGGTGGTGTAGTGTGTGGAGTTACTGGTGGCACCACCTGGAGGTCATGGGTTCAAACCCAGGCCTGGCATTTTTGCCCCCAAGGGCTTCTAATCCTACCATCCGATGGATGGTTTGGCCCTACCATCCGGGTTCAGCAATATGCAAGTCGCATCCAATGGATGCTCCTTGCAGGGCCAAGGTCGGATGGCATCTGGTACATCCGATTGGGTGTCCAAATGCCATCCACCACGCCCGGTGGTGTATTCGCATCCGATCTGTCGTCTTTGTTCATATCGATGAAATCCATGCAACAAATGTGACACAACTCCAATTGGTGGGGCTGGCAAACCGTGATTTCTGCGCCACTCGCTTCCGTGATGGTGTCTATTTCGCACATAGTTGTGTATTCCGTTTCTCAAAGCTCGTGACTGGCGTTAAATGCAAGTTGGTGAGCGGAAAGAAACGGTCAGCTGAATGCTATTCCTCCGGGGAAGAAGCCATAGTATTTATCAGAGAAACCACTGCATCCAATGATTGGGAAGCTACAGTGGTCAGAGTCAGGCGGAAGCAGCTTAGCAGAACATACGTTAAGTTCGTGCCCGTGAAGCAGAAATTGAAGTGGAGTTGAAAATGGTTGACTAAGTATGCACTGGTTTTGGCACTGCAGTGCAAAAATGCTATGTAGGAGGTTGACTTTGCGATTGATTGTTGGTGACCTTGAAACCTTCTGGTTGGTTCTCAATATGTAGGTCTGAGTAAGCCAAGCAGCATACGTAGGCCGCGTCATGCACTGACTACCACAGCAACACCCACTGACGGCCATACAAAAGCAAGTCAGGGTCGACAAAGCATCCCTTCAAGTTCCAGGACACAGGAAAGCCACATACATACCTAGCAAGTCAACATGTCCTCATGCCAAACTGGAAAGGTTATCTGTTGAAACCACAAAGACCCTCTGCTATGTAGGTGGCTTAAACACTACAACAGCCGCAAGTTGTCAGGGCCTTCAAACGCGCACTGGCAACAATGACTTGGTCTGCTTTTCGCGATCCCCTCTGAGATGGTTTCTCATACATCTCGGCAATACCCGGATCAGGCTTTTGAGAAAAGAAGAGAGAAAATACATGGATGATTATTGCGATCGGGAACTAGTACATATAATAAGAAAAAAATTAAATACATCGGTTTATCTTCTTACATGCAATAATCGATTGTGCCTGTTAAAGAAACGCAAACTTTTGTCTTAATGATGATACTGGAGGATTTTCTATAAAGGCTTTTTTTTGGTACAACCCTAATTTCCAAGACTATACGAATAAGAAATTGGTTCGCCAACGTTAAGGAAGGATTTTATTCTTGGGGAGAGTGGAAGGATTCAGGCGAATTGCCACGAAATCTGACGAAGACCGAAAAGGACCATCACATGATGATGATGATGAGTACAATGACACGGAGGTGGAGATCATGAAGAGCCGGATTTTATCTTACCGGCAAGACGCCCTGGTCAAGGCTACCTATCGCCTGGAACACAGAAGGGGAAACATCCAGAGAGCCGAACCCGCAGCCAGGACACTGAAACGGAGAGCGATCAGTTATTTTTATGTAAGAGGGATATTTCTTGAGAGCAAAATCACTCACTTCGTCGGTCACCTTGGCAGACACCGTTTTTCCAGTGGCCTCGTTTTTGATCGAGACGGTCTTCTGACAAGGCGAGCCTCCGGCGTACTGTTAAAATGTTTGAACCGGTAGTCGATCAGTATATTTCTGCTCTATACATAACAGGCGACCAGACATTCTGGTTTATAATTTTTTCAGGAAGGTAATCGCTCACTTGAGCTTGATTCATAGCAACAATCATGTCACTCTCTGAATTGGTCTCGCCACAAGCGCCGAGGGCAGGATTAAACCAAGTCGCTTGGCCGCTGAATCGACGTTCAAGATGGTTTCGATTGGGTGAGAGGGGAGCACCAAGAGAGCTGGTGACTGATAAAAGAACGACGAAGAAGTTGAAGATCATCGAGATCATACTTGCAGATGCTTGGCTTGATTTTTTTTTTTTAGTGAGTAGGGAAGATTGTTTTACTTGGATAAGAGCAGCGGATGGAGTGGAATGAGGATTCTGCTTTTTCGGCGAACAGAATCCCACTATTTATACAATTTCCTCGTCCATCACAAAATGCCGAGCATGCCTCATCCCAGTGTTGGGACTCAGGAGGAGGGACCGGTCAGTCTTGCTAGCATGACTTGCACACCAGATTTTCGAGGTTCAGCTTGTTTTTTTTTTCTTATTCTCGAACGAACGGACGGTCGAAGTCAAACTTCGGTTGGTTGGGTTGACCTGATGCTATCTGCAAGGATGTAACTTATCAGGGTTTTTTTTTTCCTGGTAAACTTGAAACTCGTCTTTTTTTTTTGGCTAGGTAGCTGGCCCCCTTTTTCTCGGAGACTCTGTCTGGCCTTTTTTTTGAGCACGGATTTTCTGAACAACGTTGGCCATTCACATTGCTTCCAACATTGAGGGTATGAGTTTTCAAGCCATAGTCTTACTTGCCCGCATTGCTTCGACTCGAGCCACCATGCCAGTATGGATGAGTGATTTGGGCGGTACGGACGTTCGATCGCTCAGCGAACTCCGGCGATTTGAATAAAGGGACCAATGCCGCAAGACTGCCCCCACCACCCGACATGAAAGGATCAGACCCGAGATTTTGGGTGACAAGTCAATCGGCCTATCTTTTCAATAATGCGCGGGATCCGTCTCAGCTCCCGCCTCTGCACGGGTGGGTTCGAGTCCGACGATTTCGTAATTATTGCATTGTATACATAAATAGGTCTATCCGAGGTTCAAATTTTAAGGGTTCTCAATCTCAATGTGTTATGTATCGTGCGGCGAACTTATGCGCGGTAGCCCAGATAGCACCCTCCCTAGACTCTGTGAGCAGCCTATGACATAACGCTAAAGAGATGCATGATTTCGGCACGCGCCAAGGGCCTTTTATTTTTCTTTTTTTTCTTGAACCTACTCTGAGGGCAAACAGAGACATTGACATCGAACAAGGATTATACATCCGCAAGCCAGACAGGTTTTTTTTTTTTTTTCTTTCTCCGATGAGAATATTGGCTGCATGAGTGCACCAGCTTGCTCATTGTGCGAGGCGATGTGCTTAAATTGACAGATTAACTACTTTCCCAGTGCAAGGTGTACCGCAGGGAGGGAAATATCTGCTTTTCTTCACGTCGATGGTTCGCGAGGTCGACAGCAG